CAGCTGATCGATGTTTCTAACTCTCTATCCCTCTCCCTTCCTCTGTGTAAAAAATCAATAAAATATATTAAAAAAAAAAAAAAGCAGATAAAGAGAGAAACTTCAGGAGGCACTAAAATGAATTAGCAGAAAGTTTAAAGGTAAAATTGACCACATTATTTTGGATGTTCTGGAAGCATCACAATTCCAATGATTCTATCCCAATCTATAATAAAAAAAAAAAAAAAAGCCATAATATGCTCATTAGACCGGACGTCCTCCTAGATGTCCTTCTAGACGACCTTCCTGACAAAGCTGGGGCTGTTAGAGAAACCTGGGTCCTGGGTGCCTGCCAGTGGCCGGAGGGAAGCCCAGGTCCCAGGTGCCAGAGGGAAGACGTTGCTGGCAGCCGGGTGAAGGAAGGCCTACTCTTGCACAAATTACATGCATTGGGCCTCTAGTATAATCATAAATCAGTAGAAAATACTTTCAGATTAGTGATCTGACCAAAAAAAGTCATTAAGCATGATTTAAGCAGCATCCCAAAAGAAATCCTAAATTCCCTAAAGAATTAACTTTAGTCTTATAATCTGTGGAATGAAAGTGCCACACTTTTATTTCACCTAAACTATCTATTAAAAGGTAATTTATATACAATAAGAGTACTTTACACCCATCTTAAAAAATAAGTGATGACCTCACACCTGTCAGAATGGTTATCATCAATAAATCAAAAAACAACAAATGTGGGCAATAATTTAGAAAAAGGGAACCCTCATGTACTGTTGGTGGGAACGCTGATTGGTGCAGCCACTGCAGACAGCAGTATAGAGTTACCTCAAAAATTTAAAAATGGAACTGCCTTATGACCCAGCAATTCTACTTCTGGAAATTTATCCAAAGAAACGCAAAACGCTATTGCGAAAGAATATATGCACCCCTTTGTTCATTGCAGCATTATTTACAATAGCCAAGATTTAGAATCAGCCCAAGTGCCCATCAGTAGATGAGTGGATAAAAATGCTGTGGCAATTTACATAATGGAAGACTACTCAGCCATAAAAAGGAAAGACATCTTACCTTATGCAGCAGTATGGATGGACCTGGAGAGTATTATGCTAAGTGAAATAAGCCAGTCAGAGAAAGACCATATAATTTCACTTATATGTGGAATCTAATGAACAAAATAAACCTACAAACAAAATAGAAACAGACTCATAGATACAGAGAACAGACTCACAGTTATCAGAGGGGGCTGGGTAAAAAAGGTGAAGGAATTAAACAAAGAAAAAAAAAACCTCATAGATGCAGACAATAGTATGGTGATTACCAGAGGGAAAGGGCTTAAGGGAAGGTAGAAAAGGATAAAGGGGGGATAAATGGTGATAGAACAAGACTTGACTTGGGGTAGTGAGCACATAATACAATATACAGATGATGTATTATAGAATTGTATACCTGAAACCTATATAAATTGTATTAACCAATGTCACCCCAATAAATTCAATAAAAATTTAAAAAATAATTGATAAAACTACCCTAATTTAGTCTTTGAAAACACTAATTAAAAAATCCAAAAACACAAAACTTACCCCATTGGTTGGAATCCCAGAGTCCTAACTTTTCTTCTTATTTTTCCTTTCTTTCTAAAGCACTCTTTAAAATTGCCTGTTGTATTTTTTAATGTACTCAGAAGTCCTAAGGCTCTGGAAGTTTTTCAACTAGTAAAATAAACATAGCAATCGAGTACCTGCAGTTCTGCTAACAGTATTGTTTGTATTCTAAACCCCATCTACAAAGGCTACAGAGAAAAATATCCAGTATAAACAAATATTACTTAGATACCAGTGGCATCTCAAAGCAGCACACCCAAGTCTCAAAATGTAAAAGGAAGAAATTTTCCACTCCTACAGTACATAACTCCCTGGTGAACCTTGTCAGGAAAAGAGAATGAAATTGCCTCTGTTACTGTGAAGTTGGGGAGGAGGTGTGGGTATGAAGGAAATCACTAATTCTCTTTCTTCATTTGTTCACCATTATTTTTCCCTCATTAAATCTCTTCTTTTCCATGATGGCTCTCTCTTTTCTCCACACTTCCTCCTTTTAGCTGTTCCCTCCATTCACAGAAATTCAAGGAATTAGAGTTTGCTATGAAAATAGATCCTTTGAATCTTTGTTAATAAAAAGTAATACAATGATAGTTTTAATTTATACAAAAAGAATTGAAAGAGTTTCAAAAGTTTTTGTTAAAAATGTGTAGTGTGAAATTGTTAAGCTTCTCCATACTTTAGCATTATATCTTGAAAAGTTCTAACTGCTGCCAGAAGAAAAGTATAGTTAGCAAAAAAATTTCCATTACTCTTATATTAAGAAGCCACACCCCATACAACTAATGACAGGAAAACATTTCAATTCAAACCCCTAGCACTATCCAGCCTGAAGCAAAGTTGTTGTGCGTGGGGTTTTTTTTGTTTGTTTGCTTGTTTTTTAAATATATTTTATTGATTTTTTACAGAGAGGAAGGGAGAGGGACAGAGAGTTAGAAACATTGATGAGAGAGAAACATCGATCAGCTGCCTCCTGCACACCCCCCACTGAGGATGTGCCCGCAACCAAGGTACATGCCCCTGACTGGAATCAAACCTGGGACCCTTGAGTCTGCAGGCCGACGCTCTATCCACTGAGCCAAATCAGCCAGGCATGTGTGTTTTTTCTTAAAGATACAAAAATAAAATACAACTCACATTTTCAGTGAAGAAAAGAAACTCTGGCTAAATAAGTAGCAATTATGCGGAAGAATTTATATGCTAGGCACGACTGAATGTAAAAACACCAGAGCAGTCAACCAAAGCATTAACACTTTGAGTATGATTAACAGAATGAACTTTCAAAGGTCAATTAAATGTCAACGCACTTTAAAGAGATATTCTTCTTATGAATGGTCAGAGTATAATAACACCTCATAATTTAGGGGTCCCCTTCTTAATTCAAAGGTAATATGCATGTGATATAGGTATATACATATACAGACTTATGTCATCAACCAGATTACTATAGAAAGTCATCTAACATTTACTCTAGAGCTTTGACTAAATAACTATTTATTATACAGCATTATCCAATAAAGATGAAATGCAAAGTACACTGGAAACATTAAGACTAAACTTTATCCAATAGCTGACCCTATTTATCTATAATTAAAAAAAGCATAATATGCTAATTAGACCAACAGCTGACCGACCTTCTGGATGAAGCCAGGGCTGCAGCCGTGCGATTGAGGCAGCCGCCATGGCTGTGAAGGCCTACTCTTGCATGAATTTTGTGCATCGGGCCTCTAGTTCTATAATAAGAAGTCATTCACAAAGACAACCCTTTACTGTCCTTAATACATCATCCTACTACTTAATGCATCTCTTCCACTAACCTTCCCTGAATGCTTGTGCTTAAAAAGCTTACCAAAAAAGTACATGGCATTCAAAAACTGCCATGTTTAGCATTAGCAATCTTTGGGATAGACCAAGTCCTGAACTCAATTAAGAGCCCATATCCCATCCCACATAAGGAAGACCAAGTTGTCCTAGAACCTCAGAATGAGAAGGGACCATCAACATCATCTGACCCAAACCTCTCCACATTTACAGCTCAAGAAATGTAGAACCACAAAGGCAGAGCAACCTGGCTTATCTCCCATAGCTCCTTAGTAGATGTCAACTCTTTAAAACGTACTTTGTCCACTGTTTTCTTCCCTACATAAAATCTATCATATACTTTCTCTCCCTTAGGACTTTAAGACCAAGTTATAATTGACCAAATAGCTGTGGCTACCATTGGAATTCAGAGGAGGAGAGAACCTTTAAGATGTTAATGATCTGGGAAGGCTCCAGGGAGGAGTTGGAAATTGAAGAATGGTAGAATCTGGTTGGTTTGAAAGAAGGCATCAGGGAAGCAATATGGGCTAAGGCACTACAGTGAGTGAGCCAGCCATATTCCAGGAACTGCAGAGTATGTAAGACCATGGTTTCAGGACCACTATATGAGCCAGCAAGAGGAGGTTCAATTTGATTGGGGGGTATATAGAAAATAATGAGAGAATCTTGATTTTAGAAAACTGAGGTGAAGACAGCAAAGACTAGCATTGCAATATGTTTGCAAGACAGAATGGAGATGGGAAAAGAGAAACATTGTGGTGCCTCACTGGGGTCTGTCTACTAATATTAATAATTTTTACGGGGTTATTGTAAGGAAAATGTGAGCTGATGTGAGAAAAGGCACTTTGAAAAGTATAAGAGCTCTAGAAAGTAAAGGTATTTTTAAAAGTTGGGGGCAGGGGTCTCTCTGATCATGTCCTCACGTTTTGATGGCATATATTTCTCTGAAAAGGCAAATTTGGAGTTGAATTCTGGATGTACTACTATGGGGTCAGAGGTAGAAATCTCCTCCCTTCAATAATTCTAAAACCTAGCCGAAACCGGTTTGGCTCAGTGGATAGAGCGTCGGCCTGCGGACTGAAAGGTCCCGGGTTCGATTCCGGTCAAAGGGCATATACTTTGGTTGCGGGCACATCCCCAGTAGGAGATGTGCAGGAGGCAGCTGATTGGTGTTTCTCTCTCATCGATATTTCTGACTCTCTATCTCTCTCCCTTTCTCTCTGTAAAAAATCAATAAAATATATTTAAAAAATAAATAAATAAATAAATAAATATTTAAAAAAATAATAATAATAATTCTAAAACCTAGATCCCAAAAGGAAAGACAGCTTCCACCCTAAGCCCCTGCAAGGTTGAGGATCATCAATACTAAAATACAAAACCAGGATTAAAAACGTGAGGCAGAACACATAGTATTTCTTAGAGTAAGTCAACAAAGTATATAAAGGATTAAATAAGGTGGTACAAAAAGGGAGGAGGGGAGAGGAGACAGCAGCTGAGGCAGCCCAGGTTATTAGCTGGCACTGCAGTCTGCATCCTTCTCCTGTCCCTTTCCCTCTACTCAACAATTACTATTTAGTGGTCTGACCTTACCTGTGTCCAGAGCTACTTATCTCCTCCAGCGTTGTCTTCCTCTCTTGTCCCTCTTCTATAGCAACTTTCCAAGGCTAAAAGAGAAATTTTTAAGTTACTACAATAAATTAAAAGCTATATATATGGAGTATATACTGAGTGTCAGTTATTATCTGTCACTAATTTGTATCTTACATAATTTATAATCTTACATAATTTCCAAAATAACTCCTATGAGGCAGGTAGTGTTATCCTCATTTTTAAGTAAGGTTGAAAGCTTAGAGCAGTGGTCGGCAAACTCATTAGTCAACAGAGCCAAATATCAACAGTACAACGATTGAAATTTCTTTTGAGAGCCAAATTTTTTAAACTTAAACTATATAGGTAGGTACATTGTTATTAACTTAATTAGGGTGCTCCTAAGGCTTAGGAAGAGCCACACTCAAGGGGCCAAAACGCCGCATGTGGCTCGCGAGCCACAGTTTGCCGACCAGGGGCTTAGAGGGTCGAGGATGCAGCTCAAGGTTACGTAGGTAGTAAAAGGCAAAGCCGGGATTTAAATCAAGTGTGTTCGATCTCTCAGCTTATGCTTTGAACCTCTCTTCTAAATTCTTCCCTTTTATTTCAATAAACATGGAAGTCCTCACTTATATGTCAGAGAGTTTATGGAGACAGAGAGGTTATAGGACCCATTATATGGGATTTTAGTCGGAAGTTTTGACAACAGAGGGCAAGGGGCCTGGTTTCAGCCAGATACTTCTCTACCAAATTATCAGATTTAAGACTGAAATCTTCAAATGTGAGTGTTTAACTGTGTTGCGGGAATAGCTTTCCATTCGGCATTCTTGCTCTCTCGCAGGCCTTCTGTCCCTTGGGATCAATTCCCAATTATTTGCTTGAAACCTTATCTCCCTTGTTGAAGAGGAGGAAGTGGCTGGGATTGCCACTCCCACAGATCACACACAAGCTAGAGGTGGTGGTGAGAGTATCCCACAGTAGGAGGGGTCTCTTGGATCTTGTGCCCCAAAGCAGCTTTAACTCTTCTTGTAGGTGGTGTCTTGGTTAGCTTGCCGAAGCAGTTCATGCGGGAGGGGTTCCCTGGTCCAGCTAACAGATGAAGCCAATATGTCTGGTGCTGGAGGGGAAGTGATCTGAGCAGTGAGCACCTCAGGATGCTTTTTTTAGTGCTCCCAGATTCTAGGACCTAGAAGCAACAGTTGCCATTAAATACTGGCAAGAAAACTCTAACACTATTTTTTAAAAAGTAGTGTGATTTGGGAGAGTTTTGTTAATAATACAGATTCTAGGTTCTGCTAACAGAAATTCTGATGCTTATAGGAAGGTGGCCAAGAGTCTGAAGTTTTCTAAGTGCTACAGAAGGTTCTGATACAGGTGGTCTAAGGACCAAAAACTCTCAGATACACTGCTCTATTCCTCTACAAGGCTGTCTAACCAGCAAACCTGCTCTGAGGATTACATTATACAAAGACAGTTTGCTTGTTCAAAGATCAATGCAGAGTGGTCACTTTTAAATAAGGCTACTAGGCTTTCCAGAAGTTTCCAGGCTTACAACTGTTGGGGACTTCTTTTCCTGATATCACCAAATAGACAGGTCCCTCAGGAAAAATAAAATATCTCATTCATGATGCAGTCCACATAGGATATCTCCAGACCCAATGCTTGTCTAGAGTGAAGAACCTTCTTGGCAAGATGCTATTTCCAGTGCTTATTTTATATTTGGTGTAAGATTGGAGACAATTTTCTCACTGGAGATTTACTTGATTTCAAAGATACATTTTCCTTCATGCAACTGCATTGAAAGGCTTATTTCATGCTATCATAAAACCAAGTTAAAAGTCAGACAAGAACTCAAATGAAATATTATGGTATGATTAAGCCATTTAATTAGACATTCAATCACAATGCAAACAGCTACTTATTATTTAAGAAACATACCTTTTAAAAGGTTTGTGTTCTTCAAAGAAAGCTAAGTCATAAACGGTATTACATTAAATCAATATTGCTATCTTTCTCCAAGAAACCCTATCAATTGTCTTTGTCTCTTTCTAAATCTGAATCCCTATTTTAAGTTATACACTTTCAGGCTAGATACTAGAATAAGCTCACTTTTTCTGCCAGTTTTTTCTTTAATACTCTCCCTCTTTCCCATAAAGCATGATAATAATTCTCTTTAAGGTTGGGTAAATTTTTTTTAATTATTATTATCTGAACAGTAGGTATTTTATTCAGCAAATATTTGTTGAGTATATTTGTGCACACATATTTTTTAATCAGCTTCTGTTGTTATAAGCTCCATGAGAAGATAAAATGCCCAGGAGCACCTGACATCTAGAAGGCACTCTCAAGAATGACGAGAAAACTGGAGGAACTAACTCATCACTGAGAGAACAAAATAACTTCTTTTGTATTGAGTACTGACAAGTAGATATTTAATAGTTGAGAAAATTTTGGTTAGGGAAAAAATGTTTCACTTTTTATGGAAAAAGGTCAGGTTTACCATAATAACCAGAAGTTAACACTCCACTGTATTGCAATACAACCTGTGATGACAATATTTCAATACCATTACTAGACCAAAGCTTTAACATTAATGATTTATTAAAATTATACATGCCACTAACACATCCCAACTAAGATTATGTAAGTGAGCCATCTTGGCGTCAGTGATACTGAACACAGCAGCTATTTTCAATCCTTCATTAAAATTAGATCAAGCTGTACTTGCATTATGAAGATTTACATTAGTTTAAGGTTTCTTTGGGTACAAGTGACATTTTCTTTTCCTTCTTTGTCAGAAGTTAGAGCCCCATCCCCCACTGCCCTCCACAAGTTTTCAGTAGAAAGAAGGAATACAGGAAAAAAAAAGGGGGGGGGGGAGAAACACCTGCCCCGTTTCCGCTCTCCTATGTATAATAAAAACCTTGTTCTTCCCCTAAACTGAAGGGATGAAGGGATCGATCGCTGAGGGGACCTGTCACTTCACCCTCAAGCCTGGTTCCCTATTCCCAGCCATGGCCCCTAAAACTTTTTAAGTGGTTGCAGCTTAAAAAACAACAGTCTTGAGAAGCGTTTATAAAACAAGTAACGAGTGGCTTATTTTTTTTTTTTCATGAAAACCAAAACAAAACCTTGAAACACTACTGCTTGAAGACAACTGACTTGAAAAAGTTACTTCTCCGTAGAATGAGAGGTGAACCCAGGCGCAGGGAGATAGATCGTGGCCTATGGCTTCACAGGAAGGCCCAGCGAAAATCTCAAGCCGAGATCTATCCTGAAAAGGGGCAGACGTGTAGCTCCTGTAGCTCTAGCCCAGTGGTTCTCAACCTTCCTAATGCCGAGACCCTTTAATACAGTTCCTCACGTTGTGGTGACCCCCAACCATAAAATTATTTTCGTTGCTACTTCATAACTGTAATTTTGCTACTGTTATGAATCGTCATGTAAATATCTGAGATGCAAGATGTATTTTCATCGTTACAAATTGAACATAATTAAAGCATAGTGATTAATCACAAAAACAATATGTAATTATATGTTTTCCGATGGTCTTAGGCGACCCCTGTGAAAGGGTCGTCCGACCCCCCAAAGGGGTCGCGACGCACAGGTTGAGAACCGCTGCTCTAGCGGCTCTAGCGTAGCCTCACGTATCCCCCAGGAGGATAGCTAAGTGGTTAAGTCACTTGCCCAAGGTCAAGCAGAGCCAGTCGGTTGCAGGCAGGGCTGCTGCGCGACCTTCTAAATTTTCCACCCCCTCCCCCCCTACCCCCTCCCGCCCAGGCCCTCGGTGGCCCCGGCTCCCGGAGGGTTCCCACGGATACGGTTCACGAGTCGGTGGCATGTCAGCGCCTCTCCAGCCCTCGCACTTTTTATGTGTTCTCCCCGCCGGCTCCAAAAAGTAGGAACGGCTCTGTCCACGCCTTGTCCCCCAGCCCAGGTGCCCCCACCACTGAACCCCACCGCGCCCAAAGCCAACTCACCCGCAGGCCCGGGGCGCAGAGCCCTCGGGCGGACTCCGGCCTCCCCGCAGTCCCCGTGGTCCGCGCAGCGGCCCGGGCGGACGACGATCCCAGAAAGTCACCGGCCGGCCGGGACCGTGGACGCCAGGGGCGGGGGCCGCGCCACGCCGCCCCGCGGAGGCGCCGCAAACTTTTCCCGGCTCGCAAGTTGCCGGGCTCGGCGGCCGGGACCGACTTCCTTCGCCCGCCGCGAAAGCGAGGGGGCGCCCCTCTGCCGGGCGGGGGCCGGCGGGCCAGGAGGGGGCTGGGCGAGCCGGGCACCGTCCAGCAGGGGCCGGGGGAGCGCGGGCGCCGGCATGTGAGCTCGGCCGCATTGTCTCCGCGGCCTCGGACCGGCGGCACCGGCGGGCGCGGCCGGGAGTAGCCGTCCCGAAATTGCCGCTCCTTTTCGCCGCGCGGCTCACCGCGTTCTTTGTGTGGCGCTCGCCGCCCTCGGCCGCTCCGCCACTCGCCTGACAGCTGATGGGCGCGCCACGCCGGCTCCGCGTCCCCCGCCGGCGGAGTCCGGCCCGGCCGGAGGAGGAGAGAGGAGGGGCGAGCGTTGACAGATGCTGTCTCCGAGCGGCCCCCGCCGGGACGAAACCGGGGCTGCCCTGGGGAGACGCGGCCAGGCACCAGCCTCGGCACCGTGCTCCCCCTTCGAGCCCCTTTCCGCGCCGGGACCCCTCCCGCCCGCCCTCCGCGGCCGGCCGCCCGCCCCGCTCCGGTCCGGCGTCCGGCGCCCAGCTCCGTCGCCCAGCGCGCTCTGTCAGGACTCCTCGGGGACCCGCCCCGCCCCCTGGCTCCAGCCGCCTCCAATGGCCTCGGCCTACGGGGGCAGTTCCGTCCAATCAAGTGTCGGAAAGCCCGGCCAGTCCCCGAGAGGGTAGCCAATAGCAGGCGACTCCGGCAACACACCCCGCCCTGATCCACTGGGAGCAAACCGCTCGGAGCTCGCGGCGGGACCCGGATCCCGGCGCCCCGAGCAGGGCGAGTCCGGCCCCGCCGAGCTGTGTCACAGAGCGAGGGTCTATGGAGGGAAGTCCGGTGCTTACATTACTGCTATATGGGGTGTGGACGAAAACGGGAACACTGGACGCACTACTTTTGTAGATGCTACCTGAACTTAAACTCTTTTTCTGCGGAAGTTCATGCATGAAGGAAAGCGGCACAAACACGTAGTAGCACTTATTAACTATTTGAGTTAAAGGCTTTCCTTTTAGGACATCGCACTGCAGTGTTTAATCAGGCAGCTCTCAGATTGGTACATCTGCTGTCCTGAACATGTGTTTTCTTAATAGATTTGCCAGTACACCAGGTATCTGAAACTGGACTCTAGCCTTCTTCAAAAGGCTGCCGGTCATGACACTGACAACGTTGTTTTTTTCTTACTCCATTCAAGAATGAAAACATAGGAGCTTTGTATTAAAGTCATCTTTATTGTGAACTTTATTTCTGCAAGGAAGTCACATACTATCTTAAATAGAGACTGGATGAGATAGCTGACGGGGGTGGGGACTTGACTAATTCACTGGCCCCTAGCATTCAATCACAGTACCTTGCAAATAATAGACACTCTAGAGTTGTTTATATGATACGAAAAGGATTTGGTCCTATAAGATATGTAAAATTTATTGAGGTTTTTACTGAAAGTGGACTACACTTTGATACAAACAGTTATTGGTGAAATTTTTAACATATTTTGCATATGTTATAAACAAATAACACTTATTTGTATTTCAAATAACTGTCACATTCAGATTATTTCTTCTGGCAATAAACGTTGCATTTAAGCATTTTTGTACACTTGCACATGTTCTTTCTGCATAAATTATTTTGGTGACCAAATTTTTTTTAAAGATCTGTACAATGAAGAAGAAGACGATGAAGATGACAAAGAAGGAGAAGAAGAAGAAGAAGAAGAAGAAGAAGAAGAAGAAGAAGAAGAAGAAGAAGAAGAAGAAGAAGAAGAAGAAGAAGAAGAAGAAGAAGAAGAAGAGGAAGAAGGGAGATCAAACAAAAATAATGGCTTGTGTTACCATTTTGCTTTTGCAATTGGAACTCACCACACCTTATCAAATTAGCTTCAAGGGATAGCATGGGCTCTAAGACTAAGTTTTCTCAAAAGATTCTGGATTGACCTTGAGCAAATTTCTTAGTGACTAACTCTAGTTATGAAAGGACAATATTCCAGACTCTGCTTGCCTCATCCAGGGGCAGTGAGATCCAACCAAGATAGTGATTGTAAAGCATTGGTTTTCTGTGTGTCGGTGTACCAAAATCACAGCAGTCTTAACATGTTATTCTCTATCTCTGCATTTCTACAAGCAAGTGTCAAGATACTTGCCCACTAGCCGTCAGTCAATATTTCCTCTGACTGCATATTTTTCTCAATCTGAAAGTTTTCCCTCAAACTAGATATAAATAAGACTCCTCCCTCTTAATTCTTTACTCTCTCTCTCTCCCACCCCGCTTCCTCTCTCCCTCTGTATTCCTCTCTCCCTCTCTCTCTCTCTATTTTTTTCATGGAGAAGGTATTAGGGAAGACATTTAATTAACATAGCCTATGGTTGTCAATGTGCATAGTTTTACATGGAAGTTGTTAGTGGCTTGGTCAGGTTTATACCTACATCTTAAAGTAATTTTGCAGCCATTTATCAGGGATTCACTTAAGATATTCGTGCTTAATTTTCAAAGAGAAAAGCAAATATGTATGTTAAAGACATTTCCATGTGTCATAATATAATTTGTTTACTTTCTTCCAAAATATACAATCTAGTACAGAAGTTTAATTATTACTTCAAACAAATGTACATATGGTAACACTAGAATTTGCTAAATTTAATTGAACCAGCAGTTGTTATTTTCAACTAATTAACTGAATGAAAACTATGGAAGAATTCATGATTATGAATCCAATATGCACCACTTATTAAGTATATTTAAGTCAAAACCAGTATTAGGAATTAATAAGTCCACACCCATGTATTTCAGGGAATTAATATTTTATCAATTGTCTGGGTAATATGGGTGACTCCATTGATGAAGAAATCACCAATGATTTCTTCATCAGCTGTTCAACAAGGAAGAGGAGAGCAGTCGCTCTTTTAGAGAGCTATCAGTTTTAACACATATTTAAATGTTTACTAAACAACCTGACTTTGGGGGTAGTTTTAGCATTTGTAAAAATAATTTTTAATTTTTTAAAAAATATTTTTATTGATTTTTAGAGAGAGAAGGGAGAGGGAGAAAGAAAACCTTGATTTGGGAGTGAAAAATCCATCCATTGGCTGCCTTCTGGCGCCCCCCCCCCCCCCCAACACACACACACACACACACACATTTGCCTGAAATCAAGTCCTGTCCTGACCAGGAATCAAAGGGGCAGCCCCTCGGGTGCGTGGAACAATGTCCAAACAACTGACTTACAGCAGCCAGGGCAGAATAATTTTTAAAAAATATATGTTTATTGATTTAGAGAGGAAGGGAGAGGGAGAGAGAGATAGAAACATCAGTGATAAGAGAGAATCATTGACTGGCTGCCTTCTGCACACCCCACCCTGGGGATCAAGCCTGCAACCCAGGCATGTGCCCTGACTGGGAATCAAACCGTGATCTCCTGGTTCATAGGTTGATGCTCAACCACTGAGCCATGAAAGCTGGGCCAGAATCATTTTTAAATACATAGACATAAGATCTTTCTTAAAAAAAAATCCTCACCCAAAGATATGTTTTTATTGATCTTTAGAGGGAGAGGGGGAGGGGGAGGGAAAAGGAGAGAAACATCAATTTGCTGCTTTCCATATGTGCCCCAACCTAGGTATGTGCCCTGATTGGGAATGGAACCCAAAATCTTCCAGTGTATGGGATGACACTCCAGCCAATTGAGCCACCCAGCCAGGACCAGACAGAAGGCTTTTTACAAATTGAATTACATGATCTGACTAGTGACAATATTATTTCTTCTGAATTTTACATTTAGGACACTTTTATCTCAACATTTCTTATTAGTGAATATAATAAATAACTGGATTCACATCTTGCAGATTCTGATCGTTGGTATGCCTCTGAATTTCTGTGTCTTGGACAAATCAAACTTCCATGTGACTTCAATTCACTGAATCCAATTTATTCATTTGAAAATGATGTTATTAGGAATAGTGAAATAGTATCTGTTAGAGAGAACAGAAAAATAATTCCCTCATTTACCTTTCTATTTCTTAAAGGGATGAGGGAAAATTTATTTTCTGAACCACAACATCAGATTTTTTTTAACCCTCCTTTTACAAAACTTATATTTATCTGATTTTTTTGAACCTGACCCTGGAGTTTCTTCACTGTGGTATATTTATGGCAAGAGTCTTTTATATGTATATAAAGGAACAGAGAAAAAATTTCAAAAAAGCATTGGTGATGGGTACACTAACTATCCCTTCTCATTTTATCTTGGGCCACAACCTCAAGGCAAATTTCTTTTAGTGATTAGTATTAGAATAAATTTTGTTCCCCCTGAATTGACATATTTGTAGTGTCTCCTTTTTATTTCCACTGTAAGGCAGCTCTGAATTAAGTTTACAGCTCAATTTAAGAACATTTTGTGGTCTGCCTCATTGTGACGTTTTTAGAAACATATTTTCCTTATCTTGGTTTATTATTTTTGCTATACATTACCAGCTTATATTTGCATGTATGCATTTTATTTAAGCTATCTAAAAGACTTTCTAAAATAAGGTGAAGTATAAATGCACAAATAACATTTTGAGTCAAACATTACCCTGGGTATGATTAGCTGAGCAGTGAGGACAGCATGAAGGAGATTGCTATGGGTTTTCTTCACAGGGGAAGAGGAATCCGATTCACCAGGTATCTCAAAATCTTTTTCAAAGAGGCAGAAAAATATAGAGGTACAAGATAGGGAAAATGTATTTATATTTATTTTTTAAAGTTAAAGTTATAGGAAATATGCATTTATTAATATTTTCTGCAAAGTCAGGAGTTTCAAAAATAGAATATTTGTTTTAAATTTAAACTGAAATGCATATTATAAATTATCCTTAAATCATGGTCACTTCCCATGTTACCCTTTATAGTTAAGGGTAGCCTTTACAGTTAAGACAATAACCACTAGATTATGTTTCAAATACAGTATATCTTTTCACTAAGATCACTATACACCTATTTCCTTCAATTTTAGTAGTCTCTTTTAGAAAATAAACATGCCCCCCTTCTGTTTTTAAATAATATCCTACAATAGTTTTATTTTAAAAAGGCTTTTCCTGAGTAAGACACTGTCTTAAAACCATTGTAGAATCATCTTATTTTATTTTGTTTTATGAGATCTACTTTAATTAACTGTATCTTTAAAAAATCATATCTCATTTAAAATTGAGTCATTTACACAAAGCAGACGGTGTAGCATCTCTTTTTCTGGCCAGCAGGTCAGCGTGTAGGAGGTGCTCAATGAAGTTAGAAGTGTTTCTGCTGTTAAAACTCAACTTAAATATACAAACATTTTTATCAGCTCACATAATTCACAGTCCACTTTACAATCTTGACAAAGTAAAATTAAATATAAGAAAAGTTTAAAAAGCTGACAGAAGGTGGAAGATGAGAGAAGGGAGTAAAAGTGGAAGACAAGTAGGGGCATTCCTTGCCTTATTCCACCTAGAGGGGTGTCAAGAAACAGACTCAAATTTGTTAGACAAGAACCAGAAGTATGAGTAGATATTTCTAAATTACAACCAACAGAACTTAAAAATATAATTATCCAAATTACAGAGGGTTGAGAAAAGAACTATAGGAAAGGAACTAAAATCTCATTTTACATAGCTGAGGGTCTAGCACATAGAGATAGGTGGATAAAAACAAATATATACATATGTTAGTTATTCCATTATTTAAGTTTTATATTTTTTTCAAATAAGTTTATTATTTAGCTTTCTAAAAGCAGACATGGTTGAAAGACTTTTCCTTTTTGGTGGGGGCTGGTGTTTCAATTGGGTGTGAGAAGGATTGTAGTCTTAACATTTT